GAGCATGTTGTACATGGCCATTTGATCGGCTCTGCTTGGATGCCTAGGTCGCACTTAATTGAGCCGAGTACCCAGTCGTGGCATTACCAAAGCAACGCCGGAAGTCTATCACACACAGATTCGATCGGATTGTTCCCTACCCCACCGCCATGCGTATCGCTAAACGATCTAGACTATTAATCGATTTTGTCTACTCATAAACGTCAGCTGATTCGCATGCTGCTGAGAACCTGGTTACTCACTAAGTCACAGTCAGGTGACTGGTGAGAGAGGTAAAGAGCGACTCTCAATGCGACACAAGTGGTCACCAATCATTCTGCTGTTTAGGCTATATGGTTACCGCAACATCTTCGAGGCTAGCGAGATTATGAATTGGTGCTGAATCCGGAAACGATTATTTGCTTCGCATTGAGAGTCATGTGTGTTTCGTCATAGCAGAAGACATAAGCTGCAATATGTTAACACTTCGATTGTTCTCATCCGTCGCAAACACAGTACAAGCAGAACACACTTACAGTTAGAAACATGGAAAGCTTTACACTATCAATCGAAATGTCATAATCAAGACCAAGGCAACCTAATTGCTTGCTTCAAGAGTTTCTGTCCACATACAGGTTGATAGGCGCTACTTAACAACGCCTGATTGATTGTCTAGATTATGGGGTTTTTGTTGCATAATTACTGAACGCGATCTCCGGGTTCACGTGATGACGCGTTACCACGAGGATTTAGTGATAGATGTTGCAAGGCTTCGATTCATCCTCCGATTTGCTCTGTATTTTTTCAGTCATCACTTGTCCCAACCATCAGCAAACGTTCAGCTATTCTCTGAGATAACTGACGGTCACCACAGTTGCAGGTGAACTGATAAGCGACGTGAGAAGTCAAACTGCCTGCTAAGCTGCTCTGACGTGTATAACAAAACAAGGCTTCGCGTGGTATGTATGAGCCGCAACTGGGGGTCATGTGGCTCCACGTTAGGGCGGACCGAAGCTTGTGTCTTCCCGTCTTGGGAGGCGTGCTTTAGGTCCGGATGAACTCGGGTTACTCATTTAACACTAAGTTTCTGTGCAGAAATTATTCTTCTGCCCTCAACACTTTGGAATGCAAATCCGTCTGATTGTGTAGAAGAGTTTTCACTAGACCAGTGGGGGCTTCTCTACACTTACCGATTGATGACTTCCCGGAATTGAAAATGCGGCTGACAACTCAGCTGCAGACTAGACTATGTATCTTAGACTCAGGAAGCGATTTGAGTCTTTTTGACCGACGGGGCTGATTGTTGGATCCAAGTAGATGGTTTCTTGAACACTGGAACCAGCACTATCTACTTTGGTTTGCTTCCTCTCGAGGTCTCATTCAAAGCACGAACTTTGAATCTTCTTATTTTCAGCTACTGGTTACCGTGGCTCACTCCAATTTAGTAACACGTTCAGTAGACTAGGTTTCGTTGTCATCTTTAAGAATCCGCTTACTTGGGTGTAACCAGACATGGCCTCGACGTAGCGCGATCTGGATTTTATCGACCCCACCAACAGCTCTACTGCGTTAGCTACGTTAAAACGTATGTCGTTTCATCCATGTGTGTCCGGTTTGGGATGTTTGCACTATCATAAGATGAAGGGCGAGCGATCTGAAAAGATCCATCTCTATGTGCTTACAAATCATTCGTCGCATATAACGATAGGACTCAAGAGTTCACTGTCACATCCGTCAATTTATTTTCGAAACTGGACGATTATCCAGTTAGATCTACTTTGGTATATAAAGAAAACGTTGGCTCTTATCGACGATCTCCGAATCTACGTGCACTGAAGAAATTTGTTCCTGTTTTCAGTCTATCTTGGCAACAGGCCGTTGCGACCAATGATAGACATCACGTGACTCTCCGGTTCGGCATTTTCTAGACCAATGACGTAGCGCTATCGACCAGTCATTCCGATCTAGTGACTCATCACTTTTAATTCCTACTCCTTAGTCACAGTCGTATTAACGAGATGATGAACCTCTGAAAACAAGCTCGTTCTTTAACTCTGGCTTCTGATGTCATCTAATGAACCAATGTTCCAAAGGAGAATGAGTCGAGATAGCCAAACCTTGGTGAAAAGGCGACTAAGTAAGCCAAAAAGGCAACGAGCCATTCAGATACCCCATTTTGTTAACGCCTGCCGTCCACTAATAATGTCGGTAGTATGCTATCCACTCATTGCATGGTCATCCGTCCAGATGGCATCAGACCGTCGTTTTAGCTCGTCAGAATCGCGTAGTTCTATTGACGGCAACGGATTTATCCACGAAACCCTTACCCGCATTGTACCGTCGATGCAGTCTTTGGCTATCGAACATGGTGATGATTTAACCGTTCAACTAGCCATGCCCGCCAACAAAGCATGAGGACTGCTTTGGAAAATCCGACTAATGAAACATCTTCGTACGATTCCACGTTACATCAAGGATCGTAACATCCAGTTGGCCTGTACCTCGTACAGACGAGGAATATACTGTTGTTTTCTATTCGCCATAACTTCATGTTGCCCATGCGAAAGCATGGTACTATCTGTACATATTTGATCTGTGACAAACATGGACGCAGCTTCCCATTTAAAGAGAAATACACCCATTATATTATTATTGTTAGTATTATTATTATTCGGTCCGATTGATTGCACTGACACATGCAGTAGAAAGTGTTCATACATACTCAGCGCTCATTTTCTATAGCCCTTTATCCTTTGCGAGGGAGTCTTTAGTCAACGCTACTTGGGTAGTTTTTCGCTATTTAAGTGTACACCTGACGGATTATCATATTCGGATACCCGTACTTTTCGCGACCGTACATGTTTTACGATAACGTTTTCACCACAAACCTTTGGGAACGAAATACCACTGCCACATTGCATCCTTTCTCATCGCGTGACACTTCGCTGTTCTCCTCCCCCTAATTTCCCCCACTCCACCTCAGCATTATTGCACCTTAGCTGAATGTCGGAAACACACTTCAACTATCCTGCCGCAATTCAAAATATATAGTAAAGCGAAGCACTAAACATTGTACAATACAAAAAGGCCGCGTATTAATTAATGACATATTGTGCGCCAAGCGAGAAAGAGATCGTTTTTAGAGGGGAAGATAAGCGGGATTGAAGAGACAAAGAATTTCACAACACAAACGCCATTGAAATGAGCTCATTGCCATGTCAACAAACGTATCCATTCATGGTCCTTCGGTTCCCAGCCAACCTCTCCACTGAATCGTCTTTTAACACGAGTCGATAGCTCTTTACTCAACGGTACTCCACCTTATGCCAACGGAGTCTATGCTTCCGGGACAAATAGCATTGCTCAGAATCCACGAGCCAATAGACTGGTGGGTTGTTGAAACGTCGGGCTTTCTACTTTCCGGCACACCACCGCCTAGCGAATCGGTTATCATTGTACCTCATTGTCATATACGTATCCGAACTGGTTAGATGTATAAGCGGGTTCTATATCAGTTGCCCTTGCATGACAGTCCAACTCGACTCGAAGACAACTATTCCCGTTGTTCCACGTTTTGCATTTTCGCGAACGAGTCTGTACTTACTGAACACTATCATCAGTCGAATTGTGATATCTTACGGCACATTTATCATTTGAGCAAATTTTTCGATTTACACCTGTTGGACCATACATCTGAACCTCTGTTACGCTTCTATTCAGCGTATTTCTCTATCTCAGGAGCCATTAATTCGCTTTTCTAAGTCGGTTCCCAATGTTCTAACTTTTCTCCGTGAATAGCTGTTCCCAGTGTTATGCGTCATTGCGTTAACTTGCCACCGGAATTGCACCCAGCGCTTAACATCCTACTGCAGTTCGCCTGATTTGAAATGCGACTCTTTTCTTTCATGTGTACACCGTAGCCGCCATTTGTGATTCACAAGCATACGGCTGGTTGTACTAAGTCTTTGAAATTGATGCATCTTTTACACTCATCGGTTACACGATAAGTGGGATGTGCAAGGCCTGTCCTTTCACTTTTGTAATCGACTGTCTTCGCTACGTCTTGGTGCGCAGTTTCCGTCGGGAGGTCCTACTGTTTAAGTAAGCCTATCGGAGTAATATGGTATCGCTTTTGTCGGATGCAGCATCTGCATAGGTTCTTTTACAGTATGATAGAAAGCCGCGCGCACTTTGGCATTTCTTTTGCATCGCTTTGGGGCGGAGATGACACACCATATAGCCACTGGAAATAGCCGATCGTGTCACTTTTCTACATGTCTGTATCGGCTCCGGTGGTGAAGTTGGATCGGCATTGCCCACGGGATCTCAAATTCTGAATCATCTATGGAGGCGACTATATATCATCCTGTTAGTTGACGCTAGAGTACACAATGATGCGATGGGACCGCGGATTGTCTTTCAACACCGGTGCTGTACTGAATGTGAACTACTGAATTATGGCAGTTGCTATTTGCAACGACCCTCTGCTACCACACGGGCGCATCTGTTGAACTCTGTCATGTCCCTGGTATGTTCGCCAACTGTCTATTTTGAGGCGTACCGGACCAAGATGGACGAAGCCGTGGGACGGCTAATGAATGGCGTGGTGGAAAGGTACAAACAAATCGGTCCAATGGTACTACCACCTTTGTGATCGGCAAATCAGTGGCTGGCAACACCAGACATGGCCCAGTTGCGGAATCAATGTCCCTCCTGCATCCCCACCGCTGGTATCTGGCTGTTATCTTATGACCCCGATTGCTTTTACTGGCGTTATCCATGGCCTTCACTTTTATAGCTGGCTTTGCGATTCGGCTCATTTCCTAGCCATTGTCACTTATTGCGATCGTGGAGGCTGGATCTAACGCAATTCTATACTCGGTGCCTAGTTGCTTACTAATCCAAACTGCGCGTACTAAGCATCGAGTAATCTCAATGTTTGTGTTAGGCCCCTTGCCTTGTCTGTTTAATCACTTTTTAATCTCACTACAGCTTCTTTCCTACTGTAACCTTCATTACAGGAAGTCGCCCAGGTAAAAGCCAATCTGGCCATTGTGCAGGGCGCGTTGACGGCGAATCAGAATGCTTACGAAGCCAGAGTGAAAGGGTGAGTGTATCATTTGAGCGCTGCGCCTGTTTCACTGTCACGTCGCTGTTTCTCTCTAGAGCCTCTTTCTAATATATCCATGAATATGTCTGTTCATTCAATCGCTGACACGATCGTTTTCCACTATTTCCATTCCTATTACGGTATCTCATTTTCATTTCCTTCCGTGATTCAGCTGGGCTATGTACTCGCACACACTAACCGTGTCGTACCGTGTGTCATCATACTACTGGGCTGCACACTATACTGCTCAGCATCGTACTTTACCTAGTGCATCACTATAATAGTATGTGCACTGTGCCATGCTGTGCTGTGTTTTAATGTGGGTTATTTCACTATTTTACAAAGTGCCATCCTTTTCTTGGTGCATTATACTGGACCATAGTTTGATGCTCTATTACGCTATTTCACCTCTGTCATTCTGTCTACTTCAGTTCAACTCTGGTTGGCAACGATACTGCATGTACCGAATACTACGTACTTCATTCCTCCTTTGGGTAAACTTATTTAGCTGTACGTCGGCCCGTAGATAACAAGTCTCCTTCTCAATCTGAACGCACGTGTTCGAGCCTACGTAGGGACCGGGCAACCCTTAGCCCAAGTGCGACCGGTGGTGGTTGTGTGGCAGTGAAGCGTCGGTTCTGCGTACCGGCCTACTGCTAGTGTCTGCCTTTGTCTATTTAGCTATACCACACTACTATGTATGCTTACGTTCCGCTTCTGCTGGCCATATAGCATGTGTTTTGGTATTCTAGTCGTATCTATGCAGCAGACATGTCCGCGCCACCTCAGGTGTCTCTATAAAGCATACCTTTTTTTCTGTACATGGCGCTCCTGCGAAGCACTTCGGTACCCGGAACCCTATCACACCGTCCGATGCACAGGATCCGACGCAGGTATTACTGGTGAAGTCTTTCTAGAAAACGGATGTCCCTCTTATAGAATGTCCATGTTTCGTTGCCGACGGCTCGTATACCGTCAACTTGGTTTCAACAGTCATCTGATAGTTACTCTATACCCGATCTTCTAACTTGCTGAATGCCGCAGATGCACAACGCACTGGTCATCTGCAAGTCTGTTGATTGCAAACTCCTGAAGTAACAACATTTCGACAAGTTCTGCGAAACTTCGCCAAAAATTCTGATTTGCGTGCGACCCCGCCGATTGCAATTCTTGTGAGGGCTGAAAAAGACAGCCTTGCTTGTGTGCATGGTGAGTCCGAACATGGCCGCCGTTGAAGCCAGAGCCGTCGTCATACGTTGCAACTCGTTCTCTCTATGTGCAAACAACGCGCAGTCATCGGCAAACAGCAGCACACTGATGGTTGTCTCACGCACTGGGGCTCCCATCCCAATACCTACATCAATATGGGGCTCCACACGGACACCGCAATCACAAGAATTAGGTGCACAAGACATCAGAGCATCTAGGTAATTATTCAGTAGAGCACGGGCCAAGACAGTCTTGCTTCATACCTGAGACAACACCAAAGTCATCCGAGATTTGTCCACTCAGCCACACCCACTGTGCCGGCATCCACTAAGACCAACAAAGCTACCTAGGCAAGTAAACTTACCCAAAGCCACCCACAGTGCCTCACGGTTCACCATGTCAAATGCCTTGGTAAATCGATAAACGGCGAGTACAATGGCTGATGTCGCACTTGGCATTTCTCCTGCAACTGATGAGCCGCGAACACCATATCTATGGTGCTCCTACTCGAACGGAATTTTTATTGCTCTTTCGTCACGTTTGCTTTAACAACCTGAGTGACGAGACGGTTGTTCACGATTCCACTAATCACCTTACCAACACACCTTAGTAAGTTGAGGCTGGACCTTACCGTGGTGCGATGGTTTGTGTGCCTCAGTGATCCATTGAGCTATGCTGGGTGGTGCTTTTGCACCTTCAGATTCACTCATACCAGATTGGTCAATGGTTAGAGGCCAGACAAACTCAGCCTCCTGGTCCTCCAGGTTGGGGTTTGGAATGAGGGTGGCACCTTATTCCTTAAAACGGATTCTTTGTAGCCCAACGCCAAACCCGCTGCCTTGCGCTCAGGTTTTTGAACCAAAGGCTTTGGTTGAGAACCCTACTCGTTCTCCTTTCTAGGCCTGGCAACCTGACAACATCCTACCCACGCAACACAATTAATCTCTCTTCAAACAAATTCCTGATGCTCTGACCACTGCAGAGGATAAGTAACGGTGCCCTATCTGCTGCATCGAGCAGGGTAGATAGGGGTTTGGATGCTACTGCTCAAGACTTCCCGTCTTCTTATTCCCCCTCTTACGCTTTTTCTCCCTTATGGTCCCGTTCCAGCTTCACTTTTATCCCCCCAGTTTTCAACCCCCGATTCTTGGCCCTCCCCCAACATGCTTTGCTAGGCATTTACCTTCTAATTTCAACTCACACGTGAACGCGGAGCGTCACTCCTGTCGACAAGCCCATGTCCAACCAAGCGGTCTAATCCAGTTCATCGGCTTCCATTTGGAGCCCTCGATCCTCCTTCAGATTGGCATGCCTCAATGTACGCACACTGCTACAAATCGGTCAACAGGCAGCACTTGCCCGAACATTGGAGACCCTCTCGATCGATATCTGCTGCTTATCAGAGACTCGCCTGCAAGACTCGAGCACTGTGCTCACTCTGCGATCCCCTTCAGGGGACGCAAGCAGTATTTTCTCCTTGCGCCTATCCGGTGAGGATGCAGCTTCGAGCACCGGCCAAGCCGGTGTTGGTATTGCCCTGAGTCCCCGGGCTGAAGCTGCTCTGGTTGATTGGATTCCAATCAGTAGCCGGATGTGTGCGGTCCGATTGGCTGGCTCGTTTAAAGCTTCGAAGTCGCGCAGGACTAATAGATGTCTATTCATCATCGCTGCCTACGCGCCCACAAACTGTAGCGATGATTCGGTAAAGAACGACTTCTACCGCCAACTGACTCAGCTCCTTCGCCACAGAAGAAGCACGGACACTGTTGTGCTGGCGGGGGATATGAACGCACAAGTTGGAAAGTTGTCCACTGATGAACTGCATCTGGGCGGTCAACACGGTGTAGGCTCCCGTAATGATAACGGTGAGCGGTTACTTCATTTGTGTGAAGATGCTCGCTTATTTCTTGCGAGCACTAATTTCCGACACAGCACCCGCCGGAGGGTGACTTGGCGCCCACCAACCTCGAACCAGCCTTGCACGCAGATCGATCACATTGCTATTAGTTACCGCTGGAGAGGCTGCATCCAGAATTGTCGCTCGATTTGGAGCGCATGTGTGGACACCGATCATGCACTTGTATGTGCTGACATGCGGATGCGTTTTGGCGGACGCCCACGACGACGCTGTGAGCGCATTGACACCAGCCAACTGACAAAATCAGCTGTTCTGAATGCGTATCGAAGTACGCTAACATGCGAGTTGAGCAAGCGCTCACAGGAGACAATTGATGGTCACTGGTCACATGTTCGCCAGACCTTACTAGCAGCAGGCAAATCCTCATGTGGTATGTCTAATAGACAACATGGACATTGGGTCTCTTCGCAGTCTTTGGAACTTATAGATGCTCGCCGGCAAATCCAGGCTGGAAGCGAGCACAATGAAACTCGCAAAGAGCTCCGGGCAAAGCTCCGTGCTAGCCTGAAGAGAGACCGCGAATCTTGGTGGTCTCATCGTGCGTCAGAGATGGAAGTGGCCGCTACCCTTGGCAACCATCGTGAGTTATTCCGTCTGATACGGGAAACGGGCAGCAGGAGACCTGGTGTTAGTGAAACTAAACGTGACGAGAGTGGACAGCCTATCCACAACTTATCAAAACGCCTAGAACGTTGGGCTGAGCACTTTGAAAGGCAATTTAATCGGTCGGAATTGTTAGATTTCTCGCCGACCAGTGATCGCCACACTCCCTGGGCTGTCCCTTTGGATCTACCCTCTCGCTCAGAAGTCGAACGTGAGATCGGACTGTTGAAGTTGAACAAAGCCGCGGGACCAGATGATCTTCCTCCAGCACTCTTCAAATTTGGAGGCTCTGCTCTTGTTGATGCTTTGCATGAATTACTAGTGAGACTGTGGGAGCAGGAAACTGTCCCAACCGACTGGAGCCGCTCCGTTATTGTTCCCATCTTCAAAGGCGGCTCGCGCTCGGAATGCGGCAACCATAGAGGAATCAGTCTGATCTCCATCGCCTCCAAATTACTCGCCTCCATAATTCTTCGCAGACTGACTGGCGCTCGTGAAAGCCAGATTCGTGAGGAGCAAGCCGGGTTTCGTCGAGGTCGTGGCTGCATCGACCACATCTTCACCTTGCGTCAGTTGTTGGAGCACCGTCACACATATTGGCGGCCCACCGTAGTCGTGTTCCTCGACATCAAAGGTGCCTTCGATTCGATTGATCGATGTGCCCTTTGGAATTGTCTACTCAGGAAAGGTGTGCCCGAGAAATATGTAAATATTATCCAAGCATTATATGCGCGTAGCACGGGCAGAGTAAGGGCTTACAGCAAGCTGTCGCCACCCTTCAATATCTTCAGCGGTGTGAGACAAGGATGCCCGTTGTCACCTTTCCTCGTCAACTTCGCTATTGACGAAGTCATGGAGATTTTATTTACAGAATACTACTTAGAAGGTGTGAAGCTACTCCCAGGAGAACGACTTCTTGACTTGGAGTATGCAGACGACATTGCCCTCATCTGTGACAGCTCCGAGACGTGCCAAGCGGCACTGGACAGATTAGCACTGGCTGTCCGTCACTTCGGCCTTTGCTTTGCACCATCGAAGTGCAAAGTGTTCCTCCAAGATTGTCACTGATCGCCTCCTGCGCTAACCCTTGGTGGGGATCAGCTGGAAGTCGTTCAGAAATTCAACTACCTGGGAAGTTGTATCAGCGCCCGTGGGATTGAAGATGAGATAACGAACCGTATATCAAAGCTCGAAGTGCTTTTGCTAACCTTCGCCACCTATGGCGGCGGCGCGACATTACTCTCGCCCTGAAGGGTAGAGTGTACAA